TATAACGATAACACTCGTAATTTTACAGAAATAACTAACAAACGCACCCTACCTAGAATGTTTCAAACTAATTATAATGAAATAACACACGATAGAACGACCCTAAAGCGCACTCTATTTAAAACAAACATTACATCAGAGAAACGAACTGAAAATGAACCGTTCGAGAACAAGACAACAGAGAACAATGCCACACAATCTAGACTATTTACAAATACGCATAAGGTTAGCCACACACAACTGATCAAATCGTTAAGCGCGCGATCACACCAGAAAAAAAAGCAACGAAATGAAAAAAAATCAAAAAAAAGAGATCAAAATAGTTGATGGTTATAATTTCGCGGAAAGCCATTCCAGGGCCATTTTTTGGCTTTCGATCTGGGCTGAAAAGCCCCCAGCACGTCGCCTTGATCCAAATCTACCAGAATAAACCAGAAAACGCGAAAAAACCGCAAAAAACGCGAAAAAAAACCGGTTTTAAACGCCAACAATCAAATAAGATCAAACACACTATTATGCGAGCTACACTGGTATCTAACGCTTGGCATTATGCCATCTGGCTGGAAGCCAAAACTACCGTAATCCAAAAAACGTGTCGAGACCCAACTAAATTTGAACTTTTCAAAAAAATTGATGGCTACAAATCTCCTCACCATTCCCAACACGATTGTCTGCATACCGTAGTTGCCACGTTTCCCTCCGACGCTCTCAATTTTCTGTTGGGACGTGCGAAATAATTCATCGATGTAACGGATTAACGGATAGTATTAACCATTTCAAACGTTTGTAAGAAGAATATTTTTTATCGGCACATTTCAATTTTTTAATTTTTAACATTTTTTAAAAATTTTACATATTTTAATCGCATTTCAAACAACTTTTAAACGTATTTTTAACAGTTAACGTATTTTGGTGTTTGCCACAATTTTCGTGTGATCAAAATCAGTGATCAAAAGTGATCACAATCAAAAAACAATCTCGCCATTCAAAGCGACCCACCAAATCGATCTCAAAACCGCTATCAACACCAGCAAACACCAACAACACACCAAATAACACAGCTATCTATCCGTAACGAATAACATTCATTAAATCATTAAATCTCAACACCACAAACACCCCTCAAAAGCAAATTCTTTCCTAAAGTATCTATCACCTAATAAAAAGTATCACAAGATAAATTTAACTAGCGCTATCCACCTCATTATATCTATCTTAATAATATTCCACTGCTCACGTTTACTCTGATACCCCTCACACGATCATATCAACCTACCAATCAACCATATTCAAATCATAGTCAAATCTAGTCCTTCCGTCCCTCTGAAAATCCCATCCTAATCCCTGAAAAGCGCCATCACAACAAAAATATTATGAGCTGCATTTTGGGATGACTGCAGCAGCAGCATCAGACTGCCCAGTGGCGCTCACCAAACGCAAACCTTCACTATCGCTGCCGGGATAGTGATTTGCGGAGACGATGCGTCTCCACAAGGCACACATCACCGCCAACGGCATCACCACCCAGACGCCGTCGGCAATCCAAAAAACCCAAAACAAACGCCAAAAACCGGCCTCTTCGAGCAGATACGACTGGCTATCTGAAATAAGCACAATAAGCACCTTTCAAGAGCAACACCACACCATAGCACTCGCTTCTAAACCTCAAAACGACGGCCGACAGCAAAAGGGCAATAAGAAACAAACTCTAAAACAAAGCACTAACCTTCAGGAGGTGCGATGAACATCACTAAATAAAGCAACGTCTTCCAGAACACGAACGCGCTCGATGTGAACGCCGTCAAATCGGCATGTTTCGACCCTTTTTTCGACTGCAACAATTCATTTTCGATGAATCTATCTCAAAATACTTCCATCTACAATCACCGTTATAATATTATTATTCAAAAATAATGTGCTCTTCTCTTAATCTATCTTAATTCAAAAATAATAATTCATAACTTTAAAATACTGATCGATCACGATCCGATCATGCACTCACTTACCATGATCAACGCCACGATATTCATCACAATCTCGAGCAGCATCACACGACCTGTTGCCATCGTTACCAAATCCTTTTCGTCAGCATATCGCAAATCCACATCACTGTAGATATTCCCTGAAAGCTCACCTCAATCATGCCCTTAATGCCCTTAAATCCCCTCTAATCCAAACTCACACAGCTCATAGACCCTGCCCAAAGCACCCCCTCGGAGAGTCATCGGCCTCAGCATCGTATACGCCACATCCAACAGGCAGATCACCGTCGATATCCACAACCACGCCACAATCCACTTCGGCAAAATCGATCGTCTCTTCACTATATCCGATCGCGACTCCACCATACCGAATTAATTCTCTTAAGTCTGCAGCAGTACCTATCAAATTTCATTGCAAATCGAAACAAATCAAAATCAAACCAAACCAAACATAATAACTCCAATAAAAGAATGCCCAAACCCAACCCAAACACCCAACTC